ACTCATTTTGGTTCAGGGAGGAAGCAGCCCATTGCCGGTACATGGTTTCCTCACTTTGATTTTTAAGGCAGGGAGGAAACAAATGATCGTGGCATTGTGTTCTGTGATTATTCTCACACATGGAAGGAAGTAGCTTTACCTAGTATCCAAAACAAACAACCTAAAAGCTAGTTAAGCTTGACTTTGAAAGGCACCTTAATGTTTAAATATGTGATCTTAAATAAATTAGTATACTGAACAATAAAGTTTCTATTTCCTGGCCTGTCTACCTATAACTAGCCCAACACATATATCTATTGTATTATTTTGGTAGGCTCCCCTTGCAGCACATTACCAGGAAGCTGTGGAGTCGTGAGGCTGTCAGTGTACACTCAACTCAAGATTTCTCTTAACCTCCATAAATAATTACCACACAAGCTTGGGGCTCAGGATACTTACTTGGATTTGTTATACTCAAATTCAATGTGCAGGCAGTCCTCAATCCCAACTTCCATCTTGATGGATGAGTTCAGCTCAGGGTACGTGCTAAGTGTGTGAACTACAATGTCCATCTCTTTGACAACATCATTGAGGCGGCGGCTGATGGTGGCTCGAAGGAAATAGCTGTAAGAGATGGAGCCATCCTATGTGAATACTTCCAGTCTCCAGAAGCTACGTAGATCAGACACCAAAACAGCCCACCTGGAAGAACCCTACAGTAATGTTTAACCCTTCGGGGCTTTATATCCCTTTGAGAATTCATGGGCCCTTTTCTTAGAAAAAGTATACATAGGCACCTATACCCAGACTTCTGCAACTACAATTTTAGGGAGATCAGAGCCTTCCTTTAGAATCCTTTTTAGGAGCTCAGGACTATGAACTAAGTAAGAACCTTATTTTAGGAAAAGTGATTTCTCTGCCATCTGCACCAAAGCTTGTTTTAAAGGCTTTTCATGTTCCCTACCACTATCTACCATCTGTGTGGAGGGTTTGTTTCTTTACTAACTCCTGGCTATTTGAGCACTGACATCTGGCCTATACACTTACATTCACATGCCTGTCCACTAAACAGTATCTGATCAATAAAAACTGAGGATTAGGAAATGGAGAAATGAAGCCAAGTATTCATTTCAGCAGTCTTTTTTAGCTAGCCCTGTGCTAGGCAAAGGATAAGTACAATACAACCTCAAGGGAACCTCAATCTGGAGGGAGAGGAACAAACAGAAACATCAAAACAGGCGAAGGGTAATTCAGAAACTACAATCTAGGTTTATGAGAACAAAGGGACTCAAAGAACACAGCTACATGCAATACAACAAAGTAGCAAAGAAATCTGTAGTTGAGCTGGAGGTAGGACACAGATTTGAAAGAAGATACATAAGTGGACCCTAATGGTTTTAACAGCCACTCAGCACAGCCTCTGCAACATCCCAGTCCCCTGGATGTAAAACTATGCCAACACCCACAGGGGGAGAGTCCCTTTAGTTGTAATTCCTTCTGGGTAATCCTTTGATAACCCAAGTGCCTATTAAGCATTACAGGAAAGTTAGCAGACACTCCAACCACATCAACTACACATGCAGGCCACCAACTCTGTGGATGTGGCACTTTACTTCCCTCAGTAATTTCTGTCACAACTGCACAAGACATTTGTCCCTAACCATTTTCTAATTGCTCAGGACTCAAATCCATTCCACTGTCTGTAGAAGACTGATTTTTTATTCTATTAAAAGTTTTCAAGTGAATATTTTTATTTATTTATTTTTTTTTTTGGTTTTTTCGAGACAGGGTTTCTTTGTGGCTTTGGAGGCTGTCCTGGAACTAGCTCTTGTAGACCAGGCTGGTCTCGAACTCACAGAGATCCCCCTGCCTCTGTCTCCCGAGTACTGGGATTAAAGGCGTGCACCACCAACACCCGGCTCAAGTGAAGATTTTTTTTTTTCCACATGATATTTCTTATTTAATACACTAGTACAAAGGCCATGCAGATTACATTGTATAAAATAAATGCCAAATTTGTACAGTCAACATATTTTTTTCTTTGTCAAGCAAATCTTTTTTTCCCTCACGTCCCCGCCCCCCACAAACTTCCTGCACCTGCACAGAAACCCTCCCACCCCAGAAAGAGAAAACACAACTCCCTCACAACTGGAAGGGAAGGACTGAAAACTCCTGGTACTCTCGCATGCCACTGCTTCGGCACAGTTTTGGTGTTGCTGGGTTTTTTGAGACAGAGTTTCACTATGTAGCTGTGGGTGACCTATAATTTGCTAAGTAGACCAGGCTGGCCTCAAGCATAGAAATCTATCTGCCTGTTTTAAAAATGAATGCACCACAATGCTTGACTGATTGTAGCTTTTTTTTTTTTTTTTTTTTTTTTTTTTTTTTTTTGAGATAGGGTCTCACTATTAGTCCTGGCCAGCCTGGAACTTACAGAGATCACCTCACCTGCTTCAGTTTCCTTAGTGCTAGAATTAAAGGCATGTGCCACCATAACTGCCTACTTTCACATTTTAATCATGTGAATAATACTGCTATGGTCACAAGTGTCAGATTATCTGTTCCAGACTCTGTGCTCTGTGTCCAATTATTTTGGATATACAATAGGAGTGGAATTGCTGGGCCACACAGTGATTCTGATTAATTATGTATGGACTGAGCCCAGGACCTTGCATATTCTTTAAGTAGTGCACATGCTACACTCTACTTATTTATTTTTTTGAGGAGCCACCCTCAAAAAAAAAAAAAAAAAAAAAGCACCAAGGCAAATCCTCTGGGGTAGTGGGTGGGAATTACCAAGCACACATCCATAATCCCAGCACTCAGGAGGTTGAGGCATAGGGGTTGAGAGTTTGAGGTCAGCCTAGGCTATATAACAAGACCCGTGTCAAGAATTCTTTTTAACAATTCCTATAGCCAAGCTAAGTGATTGCTAGATAATCCTCACTGGTGCTTTCTCTGGAATGACAGGATGAATCACACTGTCTTTAGCAGGGATTTGGGTGCAAATATTCCTAAGAGTCTAATAAACTAAGTTCTGATGGATGGTGGGAAACCAGGGAAACCAGAGAGGGAGATGTTGGTCTCACTGTAATCCTCACTATCCTAAGCCTAGGCCTACAGGTGATGAAAACAAGCAGATCCTGTGAGATGGGATCAAGACTCAGGATCATGTGATCAAAGTGACAGGACAGTCTGCTTTATCCCAGTGATATCACATAATCTAAGGGTCATGTCTAAGAGGCTAGAGATGCTGTGGACCTTTTTGTTTTTTACCTCAGAGTCTCAGACATAAGTCTCCTTCCTCACAGTTTCCCAGACAATAGTAGTAAAAACAATCTCAGGTGCTTCTGTACACATTAACTTTGTTGTTTATGATCCCTGGGATGGGTCCCAGACCCTTGTATGTGTTAGGCAATGTTGTACCACTAAGCCAAATGCTTGGCCCTGTGTCCAGTTCTTAAAGACTGTGCTATGCTCTTACATTTTTTTTTCTTATCTCTTCCAAAAGTCAGAGAAGGCAGATCTAGAGTTAGAATCTTAAACTAGCATCTATTTTCAAAAGACAAAGCTTTAAGTTACAGAGTCCAAAATGACAAGATGTTGTGTGGCAGCGCTAAATGGGGAGGGGTCGGTGCCTCTGGAAACCAAGCTGAGGTGTCTGTCTGGGGCCACCTCAGATAGGAAAGCCAACTGCTGAATTTTCAAGAATTTTAAGAAATGGTTGTTAAAAATGGCTATTATTTAGATAAGCTTACAAGTAGATGAATTACCTAAGAAGCAAGGGCAATCCATATTAAAATTATTTTGCTTCCTAATGATTTTCCTGCATGCTATGAGGCCCTTCGTCTGGAGGGACTCTGTGTGATGGTAACACTGTGTAAATGTGGTGACTGCACTCAGGTTCACAGATGGCCATGGGAAGTACAATCAGAAGCCCCCCACACACACCTGGAGGGGGGCAATGATAACATTTACTAGCACTCAGCTGCTTGCAGTGCTCTTCCTTCTTAGTAGTCACATTGCCATGAAGCTCCAGGCCCTGCCTCGTGGGACGGCTTCAGGACTATAACAGAGAACATCACTGACCACTTACCGTAGCTTCACGTTCTGCCCTGTGTAGGATTCATACGGCTTTTCCACGTGAGTAAACTCAAAGTCGAAGGCCTGTGATTGGGTGATTTCTCCTGGCCGAGCCAAGTCCTTCACCAGAGACACAAACTCATGGTGGTTCCCACGGTCATAGTAGAGTTCTGGAGAGAGAACAAAGCCGATCTGGACTACACTGAACCTAGTGAGGGCACCTCAGGTTGGAGGCACTGGTCTTTTCAGAAGGTCCTGGCCAAACCAGACTTGTTTTAGGGGTCTTCTCATTCCCTATCCCCGGCCTTCCAATGATTTCCCCATACACATACCCTTCCAAAGACACTTCCTTTTTTGTTTGCTTGTTTGGGACAGGGTCTTACTATGTTACCTAAATTGGCCACTAGTTCTTAGATATAGACAATTCTCCTACGACAGTCTCAAATAGCTAAAAATAGGTGTGTACCACCATGCCCAGCCGACACTTCTGCTTCACATAGTGAGAATCCATGATTTAAAAAAACAAAAAACAAAAAACAAAAAACAAAATAGTATGATGAAGAGATAACTGAGTGATCAAGAGCACTTGTTACTCTCTCAGAGAAGTTAGATTCAATTCTCAGCACCCACATGGTGGCACACAACTATCTGTAACTCTAGTTCCAGGGGATCCAGGGCCCTTTTATGACCTCCAGGGGCACCAGGCATGCATGTAGTACACATTCATGTAGGCAAAAATACTCATATGCATAAAATAAAGAAACCTAAATAAGTAAATAAAAGTCATTGTAATGCTCTAGGTCATTGCACGGTTAGCAATCTACCAACTAGGTGCCAATAAGGGTAAGGGGATCATGAGATGGTTAGAACAAATTCATTGAGTAGCTTTCAGCATGTTTCAAGAGAATCAATATTAAAAAAACAGAGCACCTTTCTAACATTCCTGACTTTTGCAGGAAATGCATGGTTACTTTATTATATCTTCTGTCAGTAATCCTGCAAGATGGATAGGTCAGGCCTTTTTTTTTTTTTTTTTGGTTTTTCGAGACAGGGTTTCTCTGTGTAGCTTTGGAGCCTATCCTGGCACTCGATCTGGAGACTCACATTCGAACTCACAGAGATCCTCCTGCCTCTGCCTCCCGAGTGCTGGGATTAAAGGCGTGCACTGTGAGCCACCAACGCCCAGCAGGTCAGGCCTTCTTATTCCACAGTTCAGCCTGGCCCAGAATTCACTATGTAGCATAGGCTAGCCTCAAACCCAGAGCAATCCTTCTGTCTTTCCCTCCCAAATCCTGGGACCACAGATGTGAGCTCATACCCAGGTATCAACAGACCCAAATTATTTTATGACTTTTTTGTATTCTGCCATTTAAAAATTAAGTTTTTTAAAAAAATATTTTGTTTATTTATTATGTATACAGTCTTCTGCCTTCATACCAGCAGAGGGTACCAAATCCCATGTGGTTGCCAGGAATTGAACTCAGGACCTCTGAAGAACAGTCAGTGCTCTTAACCACTGAGCCATCTCTCCGGCCCCATAAAAAATTAAGTTTTGAGATACTCATGGTCTTTCTGTTCTCCTTTGCACTGAAGGATCTTTAAAGATGGGGCTCATAGCTCCAGCTTCCTGGCCCCTAATTGTAAACACTTAGTTCTACTTGTGATGACACATGGCCACATGAAAGGTCAAGCCTCATCCCTCAAATATTCTTGAATTCAAGTACTGTGTTAAGTTGTAACCCACAGGAGAGAGATGAACTGGGACAGTGGAACAGCTACTTCAGAGACAAGTCCACTAAAGGGGCCTGGTCCTGGTTCTCAGCATCTCTAGAGCATCATCGGTCACCCGGGTGGGGGTAGGTAGGTGTGTGTGTGTGTGTGTGTGTGTGTGTGTGTGTGTGTGTGAGAGTGTGTGTGTGTGAGTGTGTGTATACTGCTCAGAGCAATGTTCTTGCTCTTAGTCCAGCTCCAACATCGTAAAATCTGAAGCCTTGACTGGGATCAAAATCTTACTGCACCCAAAAAACCTGATACCCTGCCTCTCCAATGCAGTCTTCAGTCCTGGCCTGGGGGAAAGACCATCTCCAGATAAAGAAACAATCTCAGTTGTTACTCATAACCTGAGTGCAAATTCCCCCCATACTCCACAGGCTTCCTCCTGACTTGTTCATCCCATGGGGAGCTTTTCCTTAGCTTGGGGGCATTTGGAAGCAGAGTGGGCTGTTGGAAGATATACTCAACTTGAGCTGAGGGTATTTAGTGGTTGAGTACTTGTCTGGCATGTATGAGGTGGCCCTGGAATTGAAACCAGCATTAGAAGAAAAGAAAGAAAAAATAAACAAACCAAAACTAAACAAACAAGCAAAAAAAAAAAACCCAAAAAATATAAAAACCTCAAAAAGCATTTATCCAATTCATGAACGTGGTAATAATATAGATAATTCCATTCTAGTAATGCTATTTCCATACAAATCTACAGTGTATCCTGTGCCTAATATATGTGGCTTATTTACTACCTCTTTATACTTTGATCAATTTGTTTTGTTTTGTTTTTTGAGACAGTGTATCTATGTAGCACTAGGTGTCCTGGAACTTGCTATGTAGACCAGGCTCCCCTTGAACTCACAGAGATCCACTTGCCTTTGATTCCAGCACTAGGTATTAATGGCATGTGCCACCATACCCAGCCATCAGTCTTTTATTACAAATAATCTACTTCCTCTTCCAAATACTAAGTGGTCTCAACAGTGGGTGGCTTGAGGGGTAGGGAGTGGTAATCCATTAATCCACTAACAGGAGATGACAGTTCTAAATTATGTGGGAGAAAGTTATCAACCCAGTAAGTAACTATGCCCTCAGTAAAGTAAAAAAACACTCAGAAATGGACAGGGAAGGGCTGAGCTGACCCTCCTCAGCAACAGGAAATCTTCTACTTAGTCTTGTGACCTAACCTGGTAGATGGTGCTGGCGCATGTGAAAACTGAATCCCTAACTGAGAAACCCTGTACTTCAGCTCCCAAGCACTGGATTTTGGTCCCAGCATTAATGAATTCAAGTAAGAAGCCCAAGGCCCCAATATCCATGAACTTTCAAAGAAAATTGTAGCATCATGAGGAAAATGGAAAGAGAGAATGGAAAAACCCAAAGGCAACACGAGAAATAACAAAACAGAGAGTGCAGAGTGTGCTCAGGCTGCCAGGATTTGAGGATCCTAGCAACGGTTCAGAAGTACACTGCCTGGCCCAGCAAGGGACTTGGGGAGAAGTCCTTTTCTGTATAGCATCACATTCTCCCCAGTGCTCTTCTTCCCATGACACATCAGTATCAGTGCCTACATGAAATGCCACCGGAGAACAGTGTGGTCCGAGGAGGCCCAGAAGGGCCTTTTGTTGTTTTATTTTGTTGAGACGGGTCTTGCTACATATCCCAGGCTGGCCTTAAATGCATAGCCATTCTCCCAATTCATCCTCCCCAGTGCTAGAAGTACAGGTGTATGCCAGCTATCACATCTAGCTTGGAATGGCCTTTCTGATTTATAGTTTTATAAGCAACTTGGAATGTTTCTACAAACACTGTGGCCAAAGGGGCAGAAATAGTTGCTTTACACTGTTATTTGCCAGAAAGGTTGGTTTCATCTTGAATAAACTGAGGCCGAAAATCCAAGTGCTCTAGCAAGAGGCCTAGGCCCTACAGAAACTATCAAAACAGCCTTTCTTCTATCCCAAACACGACCGCCTTTCAGGTTAAAAGTAGAAACTGAACCTGTCACTCCATTCTCTTTTTCCAAGTAACTTCTGTCATTAGTTTCCTTCTTCACTCAAAAGGAGGAAATAATTTTTGCACTCAGGATGTTTTCATGGCAATAATGCCTGCCACCAACGGCCAAGAAGGGAGGTAGCCACCGTAGAAGGAAATTGAGCCAACTCTGTATCACAGACTGAGTGAGCCTCTGAGAAACCCTGGGACTCGATGCTGGACTAGCACCACACATAGTATAGGCTTCATGTTGGACTTGGGGAAGACAGAAAGCAAAAGCCTCCTTCTCATCTGACTTCCCTAGCCTGTTTGCTGACTATGTGATAAGGATCCTTGCCTGCTGTAGCTCCTGCCCCTGGCAGACCCATAAGAACAATGGCACCTTTGGGTTGCCCATACACAGCTCTGCTCCATGCAAATCTAAGCCCTGCTAAAGACTTAGTAAGTCTACAGGAATCAACCCAGTTAACCTCTATGTGTCTTTCACTTAGTATTTCAAGAGTAAATAAATTAAAAAAAAAAAAGTCTCTGGAGTTTTTAAAACTACAGGCTTACTGAGACTGATGAGCTCATTTAAAACTTTGCAAAAAAAAAAAAAAGTATGTATTTGGCTCTGTCTACCCATCTCTGCAAGTTGGACAGTCTAATAATATTTGGTTCAGTTAACCCCATTAGCTTCCAGGGTTCCCAAGTCTGGCTGACAAGTTCTACCGGTGTTTTCCAAAATACTGCATCTGGAAAACGGTCTTTTCTTCTATAACTATGCAATAGTTTTCTTGGTGCTCTTTGCATACTACTGCATCTTGCTAATCCTACTGGTCTAACCTGGAAGACTTCCCTCATCATGCATTTATTGGCATTGTTTCAACAGAGACCATGCCACAAGAAGCAGCATACTAGGTACAGGGAGGATAACAAAGCAGCTGAAAAACTTACTGAAGATAACAAAAACGTGGCTCTAAATGAAGAACTAGAAACTTATTACTACTCTCTTGGAACAACATTCAAACTGTAACATCAGTGCAGTTGCTGTAGGACCCAGTGAACCCTACATGTCTGGCAAAGTCTTCTTTTTCTCAACCAGGGAGAGGTCCTTTCAACTCGACATACAAATATGATGGCAAAAAAAAGCAAAAACTAGAGCTGGCAACAGATTTATTGTTCTCACATCCTAGATTCCTCATGAAGATATGGTTCCATTAGGCGCATGATAGTCATGTACCACCTAAGTTCTAGGTGGCCTTGACTGAGAAGAACACCTAGCTAGCTCATGAATGTCTCCTATATATATGCAGGAGACCCAGTGGCTTGATCTAGACTGTTTCTTTCTTCCATTAGAGTAACTCCAGGGGCCAGGGATGTAGCTCAGAGTTGAGGGATACTTGCCTAACATAGTTGTGGCCCTGTTTGTTCCTGGCTTCTACAGAAGATGAGAAAAAAATTCCAGAAAATGGTTTCTGTAAAATCTTACATCTAAACCAGTATTATCCAGTTAGCAAACATTTACTGAGCACTTTAAGTGCTGGTCATTGAGATTAAGCACTGGACTAGTGATGAACTAAAGGCAGTCTCTGGATTTTGGGGTAAGTAGACAACTGAAAAAATAAAAAAAAATAAAAATAAATAAACACAACAATAATAAAGTCACAAGCTGCTTGAAAAGAGGTATCCCTGGAGTTTAAAGTAGAGGACGTGATTAGGTAGGCCTCTGAAGAAAAAGTACAAATTGGGCAGTTCATACTATAATAGAGAAGCCGGTTGTATGCTGGCATGTGGATGCTGAGAATTGAACTCAGGACCTCTGGAAGAGCAGCCAGTGCTCTTAACCTCTGAGCCACCTTTCCAGTCCCCATTTACTTCATTTTTAAGGTAAAGTTTCACTATATAGCCCAGACTAGACTTGAACTCATCATCTTCCTGCTTCTGTCTTCCAAGGCTGACAGTTGTGTAGCACCACACCTGACTAGAAGATGTTATTTGAAGGAGCTATCATCAGTGAGGATGAAATTAAAGAGAGATGAGATCTGGGAAAGTCAGGCTGAGGCGAACTCCAGGAAGGAAATAAATATACTCCTTCTAAGGTGCTGGTAAAGACACAAACAAACAAACAAAACAACTCTTAAGGGATCAGCAATAAGAGAATTGCCTTTTAAGAAGTTCATCCTTGTAGAAGATGATGAGAAGGGTATAGAAGAGACTGCCAGAGCCAGTTATAGTGTGAGACAAGGACAATAACTCCAACTCTTCCAAGACCCCAACAAACAAACAAGCAACCCGTTTCATCAGGAAGTAGAACTCAGCAATGCTGAGTTGCTCTCTTGGCTGTAGCTACAGTTACCCACACAGACTACCCTTATAACCTGACAGGAGTTCCACCTACTTGATACATAGTCAAAGAATGCAATGAAGGAGAAAACCACAGAACCACAACTTCAACAAAGTTACCCACTCGCCTTGCTCTGCTGGCCTGAAGTCACTTCATAATAACTGTCTTAGATGTATGACACAATATGCCATGCCTTGAATCTTTCCTTTAGTGCTTTGTTTTGAGACAGGGTCTTGCTATGTAGCCAGACTGGCCTTGAACTTGAGAGAGACCTTCCTGGCTTAGTCTCTGGAGTTCTGGGATTATAAGTATATGCCATCATGTCTGGTTAGAAAGGTTTTTCTGATGTCTCCCAAACAATAAATTTACTGTTTATAATTCTGTTTTAATCTATTGTCATTCTCTCATGGAACTGTGAATAATGAATGGGAATCAAAATGAACTATATACTTTAAGCACCACACCCACTGCTAGCTGTGTGAAAGCCCATGTGGCAGAAACAAAAACTTTAAGGCAAACATATACCCTGTAAAATATACACCCTGTAAAAGTTCATATGGCAATCTAACTGGGAAGAATATAAGAAGTCTAGGGGGGACTGAATCAGTGGCTGTAATTCAGTTTGTGAAATGGAATTGTCACTACACTGACTGTTCTTACCTTTATAAAGGAACTCTATCTGAGACATGAGACACAGTGCCCTAATATCTCATCATAACAACAGGGTGATTGTATTATACTTGATTTACAGCTGACAAAACTGAGGCCTGATCAGGTCAGAGTGTCAAGGGCCTAGAGAAAATTATCCCAGGAAGCAATAAAAGGTTTTACGAAAATTCAGTAAGGTTACAAATCTTGGGAATGAAAGAGTCAGGTAAGAGACCAAGTGGGACAATTACAACAGCCTCTTTGGCTACCTTGCATTTAAATAAAAAAGAAAGAGAGCTTGACACCATGCATTCCTTTTAGAATGGTTCATTTCAGGGGACATTCCCAATTATTCACAATCAGGGAGTGATGGCATAGACAAAGACTAAAACATACTTGTTTATATTGGTATTACAGAGCAAAAGAACTAATGTAACTTTAAAACTCCTACTTAAAATACCAATTCTCAGTAGGCAAGTATTGACTGTTTCCCATAAAATGCACTGGATTTATATAATCCAACCTGTGATTCTTTACTAGGGGTGATTTTATCCTCTGTGGGGACACACAGCAATATCTAACAGCACTATGTGTGAAAAGTAGGGAATGCCTCTGGTTTCTAGCACAGGAAAGGCTAAGAGCCTTCGACAACAAAGATCAGGCTCCAGACATCTATCAACAGCGCACCTGTCCTGCCACCCAAGCCAGAAGCAGGAGAGCAACCAGTGTGAAATTCACACTTCAATCCCTTTTCTGGCACAGTAATAGATCTTTCAGATCCCAGCTTTAAAATAACCCAGCAGGTACTTTACAACCAGCCAGTCTTCAGCTGGATTTCAAATTTTCAAATACCAGATGCTTTAAGGCCAAACAGTGGGTTGCAAAATCTGGCCACCAGGACTCCTTTTCCCAGGGCTCCTCCTACCAGTGCTCCCTGCCTCTGTAACAGATGCCATGCTAAACTCTTAGCCTATGAATTTAACAAGCTTTCCCAATGAAGTCTCTGAACTCAGTGTCCATATGTGCAGCATGGAGTACAGGGTAGGGATTTTCTGACAGGTGTTCACCATCCATAGCACATAACCTACTTATGACCTCGTAACACAAATATTTGCTTTTAGAAGTACTCAAGCGATTTACTAACACAAGAGATTCTAAATACTTAGAACTGGTGACAACCCAGTCATAATGATGGGCAGCTTCCCAAATCCTTGTGGGGTTTTGTTTTATTTTGAGACAAGGTTTCACTCAGTATGTAACAGCAGCTGGCCTGAAACTCACTCTGTAGGCCAGGCTGAGCTTCAACTCACAGAGATCTACCTGTCTCTGCCTCCCAATTTCTGGGATTAAAGACGTGCACCACTATACTCAGCTGATTCCCGGAGGTTTTTTTTTTTTTTTTTCTACTTTCCCTAGTAGTAGTAATTTTTCTAGTTGTAGTAAAATTAACAGCCACATTTTGAAGATGATTACTGAGCACTACAAATTTTTGATCATTTAATGGTAGTTATTGCAATATCACTCCTTTCACTTTAAGAAGAAAATTAGGCAACTAAAAGCTAGCATTCTAATAAAGACATCTGAGAAATATAGGCAGTCAGAATGAGGCAGGCTGGAGGTATTCAAAACATGCACATGAAATGTAGTTCAGAGTGGATTGAGATAAACAGAACCTTTATGAACCTTGTGTACACACCATATCTATCTATATATGTTATATATGTACATATGTGTGTACATATATACACATATGTATGGATGGGTGGGGTCACCGCTTAACTTTGGATTGGATCTGACAGCCGTAGCTGTCAAACCCACCTGCAGGATACTATGTAAGTACATCACTGTGAAATTCCAGGTGCAAAGCTCTGAGCATACTGCAGAGACAATGGGGGTACCCAGGTACCAGGTAAGCATCCAACCATACAGGAGGGGGCTCCCCGCCGTTCTTAGGCTGACCCCACCTCCCCGGCAGCACGCTGTCACTTTGGCATGGAAGAAGGTAATGAATGCATGGGAGAGTCGCCCACGGGCGGGACTCGTGGGTGAACCTCAGGCTTCACACTGCAGTTGACAAGAGCCTGTCACAGGCCTCGCACGAGCTGGGCCCTGAAAATCTCTGCTCCCCGCCCATCCCACACTCCAGGGGCGGGCTGACGTCGCGGGCTTGGGGAGATCCCAGGGAATCGACTCACCGATCTGTCCAATGAACTCGATCTTGATGCCCTGGTGCTCTAGTCGCTTGTTGGGGTTCTTCAGAGATAGGCTCACCTTCCCCGAGACGGTTTCCCCGTCGTAGAAGAGGAAATATTTCTCCTTCTTCCCGTCCTCCGTCTTGTGCTCCGCTCGCTTCCTACTCTCCGCATCATTCAGCAAGATTTCCACCTCCACGCTCTGCCCGAAGCCGAAGAAGCTCATCTCCCCGCCTGGCCGCGCCGGTGTCGGTACAGACTGCTCCCTCCCTCCAAGGTGCGGGCTGCCTGCGGGGAAGGCAGGCCGGAGGGCCGGCTGCGGGAATGCGCTGGACGCCGCACCGCAGCCCTGCTCCGCTGAGCTGGGCGGTGGGTGATCACTGACGGACGGCCTGCGCCCCTGGGGAGGGGCAGGGCCGAGGAAGGCAGGCGACTGCGGGCTGCGGCGCCCGGAGCAGCGATGCACCGAGAGGCCAGGCACCGTACCTCCCTAGTTCCCGGCGGTGCAGCGGCCGGGGCCCAGGCGCAAACACGCGTTCCGTCGCCCACCGGGTGGGGTCTGGCGCCCAGTCGCGCACTGAACTGTCTGGACTCCCGCGCTGCAACGCACCGAAGTGCTACGGCGGCGCCGGGCGGGGGAGGGGCAGGAGAACTCCGGCCCGGATGCGAAGGAGATGCCACGCGCAGGCGCACGTCTGCTTCTCATCCCCCAACTCCCCCGCCTCCAGGCCGCCAGGAGGTGCGCTCATCTGCGCATGTGCAGTGCCATAGAGCTGCTTGTCTCTCCCTTAGTTAACATGGCGGCCGTGGCCTTTTTCCAGTAGCACTCGGGCCCAGATGTTGCGTAAAGTCCTAGCGCTGCAGGGGCGTCCTTGTGATATTTTTGGTTACATCTCCCTTATTTCTTAGCCAGATAAGCGCCGGGACACTCTTCACATTCGCATATGAACAACGCTTGCGTGCTGGCTGACGGCTGAGGTACCTCTGACAAGCACGCGGAGTGTCACTCGGCATGGGCAAAGGTGACTGCTACTACAGGAAGTGTCCTGTCTCCACTGGCCTCTACGTTTCCTGTCGTGTACAAAGACAAGACGGTCACAAAAAATGCTAGTGGTGTCCCGACCTCCGATTTAAAGTGGAAAGCTAAAGGGAAATCTCCTTGTTTAGTTTCCAGGGCTCGCCCCACCCATTTTTGCGCACCCTAATGGACGAACCAGCCCATTGGCTTAGGTTACGAACTCGGCCCGGCGCGGTGATTGGTCGGTTGTAAATCCCGAACGTTGTGACTGGTCCGCAGAAGCGTCTCGGAGCGCGCGCGGGAGCAGAGGCAAGCCGGTACTTCCATGGTCGTGATGGCGCTGCAGGATCTTGGGAGAGATCTGCAGCCTTGGTGTCCGCTGGAACTCAGCCTCGGTGAGATCAGACTCGGAGTCGGGAGTCCTGGGTTCAGGACTTGGGGTGCTCTGCACTGCCTGACGTGTCTCAGTCCGCGGCCCGGTCGGGGTGGGGGTGGGGTAAGGGGGAGCCCAGTCAGGCAATGACCATAAGTTCCATGATTGTGGCAATCCCGCCCGGGTGGTGGCCAGCCAGACGTAGGGTGGGATCTCAGTCTAGACGACTAACTGTTAAAAAAGAGAGCTTGCTTAACTGTTGAAGCATGCGGGAGGTAGAGGCTGGGGGGCTGGGGGTTGCCATGAGTTCAAGACCATCCTGGGGTACACAAATAAGTTCAAGTCGGTATGGGCTGCAAAGGGAGTGTCTCAAAAACAAAGCACAACATCAGCAATCTAAAAAGCTAATAGTTGGCCTCTCCTGGTGCTAGAGCATCTGTATTCTCCATCTGTCACCCTAATTCTGCCAAGTCTTCCTGGAATTAACCATTCCCATCTCCAGGTGGCTTTAAACAGCAGTCTCTTTGTTCAGACTGATAACTATTTTCTTAAAACTTGTGATCATAAGTTCAAGTAGGTGATTCACATGCAGACCTTGTTAGATGTCTGAATGAAGTAGAGATTCCCAAAGCCAGCCAATTGCACCAGCTAACTCACATAATTGGGAGTTAACTCTTTCATGCCCCTGCCCCCCTTTTGTCCTTACATCCAGGCTCCAGCCCTAGGGCTGTTGTCCAGGCCCAGTCCTCATAGCCAACCAAGGCAACTGCAGGATAATTAATCCTAACTGCTTTCGATGCTGTCACTGTCATCTCTGCACCCTGCATTACTCCTTTTGAAGGTACAAGTTTGCATGTGCCACTTCTATGGGTCTTTCCCATTTGTTTCCTAAATAAATGACCACATCATTGGCCTACCATGGAAGAGGAGTTGTGGAAGTCTGTTTGCAGGCATGACATGACCTCTGCTGTCTTGACATCAGATCAGTTGTAATTATCCATAAGAGACTATCACAGGTAGAAAGGAAGGATGATGTCGGTATACCCCTAGTAGTTCCAGCCAGTCCCCATTTCCCTTCCCAGCTTAATATTACTGACCCAGCTGCATGTGGTCCTGGGGAAGGGAGTGTGCTAGGATATGCAGGAGGAGGGTTGCAATGCAGTGCTGTATGTAGCATTCACTTGTGCCATGGTGGGGCTTTTAAGTAATGCAGCTGCTTAAGTGAGACTCGCCTATGCTTCTGGAGGTAACTCCAGTCAACAAACTCATTGGCTCACCATGCTAGGCTTAGATGGAATCCTGTCTTTGGTTATTAGTGCCCTTTGAATCTGGTGATAAGATATGTACCTGGGCCAAGCTGAACATGGAAGTATGCTTGAAAGGAACCCTAGAGTGGCTGGACTTCCTCTGTGTTAGTGGTTCTCAATCTTCCTAATGCTGTGACCCTTTAATACAGTTCCTCATATTGTGGTGACCCACAACTATAAAATTATTTTGTTGCTATTTAATAACTGTAATTTTGCTACGGTTATGAATTGTAAGGTAAATATCTGATATACAGGATATCTGATACGTGACCCCTGTGTAAGGGTCGTTTGACTCCCCCCACCCCATGGGGTTGAGAACCGCAGCTCTGTGACATGGAGTGCAATGCATTTTTTGATGGAGTTCGCCATACAAGCAGGCTATAATGATGGGGGTGCCCTGAAAATGGATAATGAACTAGAGAATATATTGCAGTGTTTGAAAACAGCATATATGAAACTGGATTACAGGTCAGCTAAGGCAACAATAGCTTTCTGGTCCTTGCAATTGAAGCATTGCTCTCTGAACAGAGAGTACTGCATCCAGGGGAATTACAGTGGAAAAAGAACAAGTGATGCTGCCCTCCACATTAGCTTCTGATTCAGGAACTGTGGGGAAAGGTAATGAGATGAAGGTATGGGCTTGTTGCTTCGGATAGCAGTGAAACATAACAAAAAGGGTACAAATTAAATATGTGATAGCCCTTCCTGGCATCAAAATCTTGGAACCTGCAGAAAAAATCAAAGAGGAGGGAGACAATAAGGTAGAAGTGATAAAAGATTTTCCTCTGGTTTAATATTTAGTGCAGAAGAAACCAGGCAGGAGTGACCTATAATTCAGCATGAAAATTGAGGCCTTAATAATGGCCTAGCATAAGAACCTGATAATTAGGAAATACACTACCTCTAAACTGCTTTAGTTGGTAAAGACTATGGTAAGAAATGAAGGAGCCACTCATTGCCTGACTTGTGAGGCTATGGGACATGAAACAGATGGCATCAGCCTGAGTGCCCTGAAGGATAGAAACTAAGAAATATAATTGCTCCTCCCTCCTTGAGACAAGGGCTGCATAGCCTGAGGTAATACAAAGGAAATAGTTCCTGATAGACTGGCTCATAAAAGCTGGTGGGCACACTTGGCTGACACTGGCCCAAGTCTCCCTAAGAACTGGGGACTGGCAGATGAAAGTACAAGGAATTATTGAAGAAACTGAGTATTAGAGAAGTGCATGATGCCCAGATCTTTGGGCCATGTGGGCATTGTGTTCATGGGGGTGTCGAGGTGTACAGCAGAGATGGCAGGCCTGGGGTGGGACTTCATTGTCTTTTTCTGCCCCATAGTAAGGCATGATCTTTTAGAGGTAGGAGAGGCTGTGGTAGGTCTTAATGACAGCCTGGCATATACACTGGTGACATGTAAACCAGATATGAAAGGTGCTGAAATCCTCAGGAAGGGATGAAAAGGGGGAAAACAAAAGATAGGGTCTATCTGGCTCACTGAAAAGCAAGTATAAGATCTGTGTCGAGTGAGAATTCCTAGGGGAAAAATTGACAGGAAGCCAAATTCAGAGCTTGTGGGCCTCTGGAAGGCTGTAAGAACTGAGCCCACACTGTGCTGAAGACATTAATGATCAAGTAGTGCATGTAAAAAAGTTTTAATCTTATTCGAAGTGTGGGTAGTTACCCCTCCCTGAGCATACACTGTGTACAGTAAGTATGCAGGGAGTGGAGTTGCTTGCCCGACTTGGGGCCCTTTCAGTAGCCAAGTGTGACAGATGGAGAGATGCTACCCATGATGCTGTCATGGTGAGCAAGTAGGAGTAGGGCTCTACTGACACTTGGCCCAGAGCTGGTCCTCATGCAACAGAACTTCTCTTCTGTCTGCTTTTCTAACATGTTACCTTTGGCATCAGAGATACTTAGTTTGTTGTTGTTTTAGCTACCATTGGACACATTGTTTAGCCTTGGTAAGCCTGGGTTTCCTCATCTGTCAGATGTAGTTTATAATGTCTAGCAGGACTTTTGTGCAGAGGAATGTAGTGACTGGTGTGCAGCAACTGATGAGCAAATGCTAATGCTGATTCTGACTCTCTCACCTCAGACTCGACATTGTGAGTGTTCTATTTCCAAACACCTTAGATTTCCTTTGCCCCTGTGCTGAATTACTGTGATCGCTGTCTTTCTGCATTCCTTTCCCTCATGCACTCCCATGTTCAGGTTCAGTTGAAAGCCATCCTCCCGCCATCTTTCCCTTACTACCAGTTATAGTTCCTATTTACTCTTCATTGTACACACGTATCTATTACTGTGTTGACACTCATGCGTTATAAAAAAAATAGTCGTTTATTCAATGAGAGTTTTATTTGTAGCTAGTACATTTTTTGGTCTTTCACAAAAATTATGTAGTGCCAGTGGTGACTAGATTAGCTGTGTCTTAGTGGTCAAGTTAACATACTTTATGATTCAAAACCCAGTAGGCTTCTTCTATACTAAACTTTTTACACAATTGTGGCATGTTGATCATTGTGTGTATTCGTCTTATACTCTAGAACTTAAAAGGGCTTTATCAACTATTTTCTTAAAATGTTTGTTGAGGGGTATTTCTCCTTTAGTCTTAAGTCAGTAAAACAGGAGTTGTCTCCATTTGACAGCTAAGAAATTAGATAAGGAGTGATTTGGATTAGATAGGGAATTAAATGATTTGATGGCAGTCTAAAATTAAATAGGAGCAGGGTCATTTATAGGAACTAGGCTACCTTACACTAGATTATTTTTTCTTTTTTTCGTTTTTATTTTTATGTGTAGAGGTGTTTTGCCTGCACATATGTCTCTGGACCAAATGCAAGCCTGCTGCCCACAAAGGCCAGAAGCAGGTACTGGATCCCTAAGGCTAGAGTTACAGAGAACTGTGAGCTGCTGTGTGGGTGCTAGGTCCTCTAGATAAGCAGCTCATCTTTCCAGTCCTTTTGGTTTTTGTTTTATTTTTATTAGTATATGTTCATTTGTAGAAGGATGAGTTTTCCATATGTGTATGTCATGTGCATTGTGCATATTCAGCATTACCACCCCTTTGAGGGGGTGCTTTATCTGTTTTCTAGCCCAAATTTTTCCAATAAAACACTTCTCTTGGGCTGAGTGGTGGCACACACCTTTAATCCCAGCACTCAGGAGGCAGAGGCAGGTAGATCTCTGAATTCGAGGACAGCTTGGTCTGCAGAGTGAGTTCCAAGATAGCCAGGAGTAGCCCTGCCTCAAAACAAAACAAAATAAAATAAAATAAACAAAAAGCCTAAAAACCACCAACACCAACAACAAAACACTTTTTGTGTAATTGTTAGGTGCTGTTAATCTTAGAGATGAAGTAGGAGAGACTCAAGAATACTAGAAATGACATAACTTAACTCATGCTGATAATTTTAAAAAGATTCTGAAATGAGCACCAGCATCACCTTCCAAATTTGACCTGAATCTGTGACAGTATTGAGATATCTCAAGCAGAGCAGAGCAGAGGCAGGGAGAAACATACTTTCTCCTGTGGTGCCTACAACGAACACTGAAACACTTTTGCGTGCTCAGAGAGGTATGTTTATAGTCTTCAGTTTTATGGGACTTGGATCCAATTTTGCTTATGGCTGTGACTTTAGCACTGACTGAGCTGCATTCTCATCCCCATTGGGTCTTCTATGCAGAGGAACTTGGGCTACTGAAACTTCCAATTTACAAAAGATGGACAGATGGTACTCTAAGGAGACCTCCTAATTGTGGAGTGTAATGTGATACTGAGAATCATGAAGTGAAGGGGAGACCTCTCATATCTTGTTCCGACTTTATATTCATGCTCTGTTCAGTTCCTCCTAAATTAAACTTACAAAGAATATTAATTTGAAGATATACCAAACTAATAATTTGACACAGCCACAAACTCATCTGCTCCCAATTTTAGATGGGGTGGGGAAAAGTCTGGCTAAATGACTTGAGTTTAGGTTGAGAAGCCTAGTGAGGAATGCCATGGGAAGACTGTGTTGAGTTTAGGTTGAGAAGCCTGATGGGAAATTCCAGTGGAAGGCTGTGTTGCTGTCTCTTCCACACATATTCTTTTCATTGGTGTGCTCAGGAGTCACTGGGTATTTTTGTATGAGCCGCTTTCCTCTTTTAGTTTAAATGTTTCGGGAATGTGGTTTCTCTGTTTTGACACAAGACTTTATTGTCCAAGGGCTCAGTGAAATGATAAGTATGTTTTATTTGAGTTTGTTTACTTGCTTATGTGATTTTCAGAGAAGTGGCTGAAGCACTCAGTGATGCTTGTCTTTTCTGAGTGGAACCTACAAGAAAACTTGATCACTAAGTTTGTTCAAGAGCTATTCTCTGAAACTGGTACATCTAAAAAAAGAAAAAAGTTTTCTTCTTGATATTTTTAGTTTTTTTTTTATTTATGTGAATGAATATGTTGTTTCATGTATGTCTATGTACCACATGCATGCCTGGTGCCTACAGAGGCCAGAAGAGGGTGTCAGATCCCCTGAGACTAGAGTTACAAATGATTGTGAACCACTATGTAGGTGCTGAGACTAGAACCTGGGTCCTCTGCAAGAGTAGCCAGTGCTCTTAACCACTGAGCCATTTCTTAAGCCCTCTTTTTGATATTTTTAGATGATTAACCTAATAGGTCAGTTTCCATTGTGATTTTAAAAAGATTTTCTTTGTATTTTCCTTTTGGTCTTTTTGTTATTTTGTTTTGTTTTTCAAGATAAGGTTTCTCTGTGTAGCCCTGGCTGTCCTGGAACTCACTTTGTAGATCAGGCTGGCCTGGAACTCACTGAGATCCACTGCCTGCCTCTGCCTTCCAAGTGCTGGCATTAAAGGTGTTTGCCACCATGCCAGGCCCTTTTGGATATTTGAGACAGGGTCTTGCTGAGCAGCTCTGTTTGTTCTAGAACTTACTGTGTGGCTCTGGTAGACTTTGATCTTGTGCTAATCCCCCTGCATCAGACTTCCAAGTGCCTGGATTACTCCCGACCACCATGCTTACATTAAAAAGATTTTCTTAATCTTTATGGCTTTCCTTTTAGTGCATATAATACCTATATGACTGTAATCATACATGTAAATAGTGACTTTCCTAGTATATACCTGGCATCTAAAGGTGATTGTTTTTACTTGCATGAGGGCATTTATTAATTTTACTCCGTTTTCTCTCAAGAATGGGTGAACTCAGTGTGGGAACTGGATTTCACGGAGACAGAGCCTTTGGATCCCAGCATAGAAGCAGAGATCCTAGAGACTGGAGTAGATGCATTCACAAAGCTCTATGGAAGCCTTTTCCCCTTTGCAACTGAAGAAAATGGATCTTTAGAGGTAAAAAGATAAATAAATAAATCAAGCAACCCATTTTTATGTGTTACAGAGGATGAGAGTTATTACAGTTTAAAATTAATTTTCTTGGAGTAAGAGTAATGTGAAGACTATGCTTTGTTCATTGGAGTGTCCTAGTAGCTTTGCTTCAAAAGGTTTAAGGTTCTAGTTGTGATTTTTGTTTTCAAGACATGACCACCTTTTCACAATAGCAGTTTAAAGTTGAAACAGAAAGGAAGAGAACCAGACAGACCAAGTGAAAAGGCCACAGGAAGTAAAATAACCATCCAGACAGGCCTTAGCTTTAAGAAAGCTTGTATTAAAGCAGTAAGTAGTTAGGTGGTTTACACACGGCCTTGACACTGTGTTCTGCCTTGTGTGCTGGCAGATGTCACAGGTGTCAGAGGACACCCTTAGTCTTGCTTCTCAGGTACCTTCTGCCTTTTTCTTTGAGATAGTGGTCTCTCACTAGCTTGGGAGTTTGCCAAGTAGCTGACCAGCGATCATCAGGGATCTGCCTGTCTCTGCTATCTGGAGTCCAAATCAGGCCCTCATGCTTTGTGAGCCAAGTGCTGTGCCTACTAAGGTGTCTCTCCAGCCTTCTGTGTTTGTTGTATTGAGATCATTGACTTGTTTGTAGAAAGTTCAGCTGGGCGTGGTGGTGTACACCTTTAGTCCTAGTACTCAGGAGGCAGAAGCAGGCGGATCTCTGTGAGTTTGAGGCCAGCCTGATCTACATAGTGAGTTCCAGAACAACCAGAACTACATAGTAAAACCCTGTCTTTAAAAAAAAAAAAAATTAAAGCCGGGCGTTGGTGGCGAACGCTTTTAATCCCAGCACTCGGGAGGCAGAGGCAGGCGGATCTCTGTGAGTTCAAGACCAGCCTGGTCTACAAGAGCTACTTCCAGGACAGCCTCCAAAGCCACAGAGAAACCCTGTCTGGAAAAACCAAAGGAAAAAAAAAAATTAAGAAGCAGTCATAGTGGCGCACATCTATAATCCTAGTACTTGAGAGGATGAGGCAAGGATTGACGGTTGCTGCAAATTTAAGTTCAGCCTGGATTATAGAGAAGATCCTGTCTCAAGCACCAAAAGGGCCAGTAAGAGGGCTGGATCCTCTGTGTTCAGTGGGTGAAGGTGCTGGCTAACATGCCTAACAAACTGAGTTTGATTCTCAGGACCCATGTGATAGAGAAAACCAACTCCTGTAGTTGTCCTTCAGCCTCCGTGCATGTGTGTTTCTCTCACACACACACACACACACACACACACACACACACACACACACACACACACACAAACACTAAGCAAATAAATGATGTAATTTAATGAAGTTTTTTTAAGGGAGAAAAAGAAAAACCCAAAAGGCTAAGAAACAAAATAACAAAGTCTTAAAATAGGCCAAACATGATAATGCATGGCTCTAATCCCAATGTTTAGGAGGTAGAGGAGGTGGATCTCTGTGAGTTGCAGTTCCAGACCCAGATAGGACTGCTCAAGAATAAATCATCTAGTTAAACATTCCTTTAGAGCAGTACTAAGTATTCCATTGAGTACTTTAGAAGATAGGGTTAGGGTTGAGGTATAGTGGGAATATGTAAGGAATGTTGAGAATTACGGCAGTGTGTTATGAGTGGTATTTAGAATTTTTAAAACATGGGAAACATAGGACAGTAAGTTAGACTGAGAAAAGATTACAGGTAATTTTAAATGGTATCTTAATTAGGTCTCTTTTACTGTGATAAAGCACCATGACCAAAAGCAATTTGGGAGGGAAGGGTTTATTGCATCTTATACTTTGGGATAGCAAACAGTCTATCACTAAGGAAAGTCAGAGCGGGAACCTGGAGCAGAAGCCGTGGAGGAGTGTTGCTTACTGGCTTGCTCCTTGGTGGCTCAGCCTACCTTATAGCAATAGGACAAGGAGACTAGGGATGGCACAGTCCCCAATGAACTGGTCCCTCCAACATGAATCATCAATCAAGAAAATGCCCCATAGGCTTGCCTAAAGGCCAGTCTGTTATGGACAGTTTTTCAGTTGAAGTTCCCTCTTCCCAAGTGACTCTAGCTTGTGTCAAGGTAACATAAAACTAGCCAGCATAAGTGGGCTTTACTTGTGGAGCTTGGTAAATGTAATAAGGCATGATTGTGTATGAGGTTCTGTTTTAAGTAGCATGTACATATTAACTCATGGTTTGAACAGATCTGTTTAGAACAAATGTTCTTGCCCATAGACAGACTACAGTGGGGAAAACTGCACCAGGAGATCCCCTGGGAGTACTTTGTACTGAGTGCTGATGGTGTGGTCTGGAGTTTAGTTGTGGAAATTGGTAAGGAAGGCTAAAAACAGGAAATTGTTTTAGGTAGAATTAATAGAGGTTTTAGAACTTCTTTACCATGTATCTAAGGCATGGCTTAAATTGCCAAATTAGGTATAAGCGTAGCACAATTCGTGCCCAGCATGCATGAGGCCTTAGGCTCAGTCCCCAGGACTGTCAGTAAAACCCTAGTACAACAACAAAACTAGGAGGAGGATTTTAACCATGGGGGGATTATATTTGAAGATCTTGAAAGGTATAGCTTGTAGTTAGAAATACAGGTCGGAAGGCCAAAAGGTAAGAGCAAAATTCCAGATCAAGGTGTGAGTAGACCTAAGACAAACATAATACAAACAAACAATCAATACAAACAATACAAACAAATCTAGCACAAAAAGAAGACATAGTAGAAGTGGAGAGTTATTGAATAAGGCCACAGGGGAGTAGTCAGTGATGGGAGTGCAGGCCCTGCAGAGTAGACAGCAGCCCTGAGATCAATTCTACTGAGGTGATGCAACAAGCAGAGTTCTGGTGACTAGACAATACAGTCAGAGTGGAGGTGCCCACTGCAGTTGGCATAGAGTGTAACTGTCAAGGAAAGCAACAACATACAAAAGGATTTCTCCTCCCCCTTTCTCTTCATCTCCAGCCGTGTCTTGCTATGCACTCCAGGCTGGCCTCAAACTCGGTCTTTCTGCTTTAGCCTCCCAAGTACGGAAATTATAAACATGCCACCATGCCCAGTTTAGTCTGTGAAGCAGTTTGTGCTGTGCGGTATAGGTACTCTGTAGCATTGCCTATCCCTTACCCTGTCTTTTTTGTTACTGTTTTTGGTTGTGGTTTGTTTGTTTTTGAGGTGGGATCTCACTATTATCTCTGGCTGTGCTTGAACTCACTATGTAGACCAGGCTGGCCTCAAACTGGGAGATCTACCTGCCTCTGCCTCAAGAGTGCCGGGATTAAAGGCATGTGCCATGTGCCCTGCTTTTTGGCCTATCTTTTGAAGGAAGGCAGAAACACATAGTCTGGTTTCCTGAATTTTGTTAGTCTTTGTTATTTTTAAAGGTGCCCAAGGCCTGTTGTGGTTGTACATACATGTAATGTACTCAGGAGGGAACCAATGCTGTGAGCATGTCTGTGGGGTATTTTCATGATTGTTAATTTATGTGGGAGGGCTCAGCCCCATGAGGCTAGTACCCTAACTACGTAGGGTAGCCCTGGGCTGTATAAGAAGCTAGCTGAGCAAAGGGAAGAAAGTTAGCTAGTGAGCAACATCCCTCCAAGATTTCTGCTTCAGTTTCTACTCATGTTCCAGCCCTGATTTCCTTCAGTGATGGATTGTGACCTGGAAGTATAAACAAAATAAACTCTCCTCCCAACAGGTTGCTTTTGGTCATGATATTTACAAAGCAACAAAAAAGCAATCTAGAGTACTTCTCTCATCATTATGGACTGTAAAGCAGAGATGGCTACAAACCACAGCTGGGCTGTAATCTTCAAAACCTGCCACTAGTGACCTACTTCTGCCAGCCAGTCCCTACCTCCTCAGGCTTCCACAGCCTCACAGTATGGCATCAGCAGCTGGGGAACAAACAGTAACACAAAGACCTGTGGTGGTGTTTCAGAGTCTACCAGAACACCTTAGTTTTTGTTTCCCTCTCTTTGGAGATGGCAGACATTTATAATGAGAAGTTAGACTGTGTATATGCTTGTACATGCACATGGGTATGGGTGTGTGTGTGTGTGTTGTGTTAGTAAAGCTCCAACCCAAGACTTTGCATGTTAAGCAGGCACTGAACTGTAGTTACACTCCTTATTTCTCTTGAGAGGCTAGGTCCTTGTAAGCATCAGTGAGCTTTCTTCCAATTCATCTAATTACTGGCTTTTGTGATTTGCACTCTCCTCCCAGAGCATCTGGACTTTCTTCGTTGAGAATAATATTTCCATTAATACACTGGTGGCCTTATTCTGCCACTTTGTCCAGGAAGCACATAAAAAAGGTGCCAGTGCACAGAATCGAGAATATGGCCTTCATGCTGCTGGGCTCTATTTTTTGCTACTAGAAATACCAGGTATGTATACGTCTGGCTGTCTGTGTTTATAGGTTCCACATCTGTTTACAACCAACTGGATGGAAAAAATACTTGAAAAGAAGCTGTTACATTTGTTGATACTGTGTATGTTCTTAAGCCTGTAATGATTGGGTCTGTATTGAACATGTACAGGTTTTTGTCTTAGTTCCTAACCCATACAGCAGAGCAGTTCATAGTGTTTACCCTGTGTTGGATATCTAGAGGTGATTTGAAGTACACAGGAACATGTGTGTAGTTTATATGCAAATAGCCATCTTCAAAGAGAAACAAAAGTTCCTGATTATTCAAAATTTTATGTAAGGGACTTGACTTTTCTAGTATCATCAGATTTGGTGGTATGATCCCTCGTTACTTTTTCAGATATCTTTATTTTTTATCCTCCTTATGTATTTATCTACTGCTCTCCTCACTAGTTAGAGCCTCCTCCTTTTTCCCATTTCCCTGATCAGATCACTGTGTCCTGCTCTTCCCCCTCTCTATAGCTCCCTTATTCCCCCACTCTGACAATTCAGGCTCTGAATTCATGTCTGAAGATTTGGAGCTAAGAGCTTCTGATAAGAGAAAAACATGCAACATTTGTTTCTTGGGGTTTGGCTTATCACTAATATGATCTTTTCTAGTTAACCTGCAAATTTCATGATTTCATTTTTCTTTACTACTGAATAATACTCCACAGTGTAACTATACTACATTTTCATTATCCATTCATCATTTGAAGAACATTTAGGTTGTTTCCATTTCTGAGTTATTATGAGTAGAACAGCAATGAACATAGCTCAGCAAATAAATATGGAGTAGGATATTGAGTCCTTCAGGCATATGCTAGGAAGGGTTATAGCTGGGTCATATGGTACATGTATTTTCAGCTAGCTGACAGTTCCTCATACTGATTTCCATAGTGGCTCTACCAGTTTGCAGTTCCATCAAAATTGAGTGAGGGTTCCCTTTTGCCTACATAGGCTCCTGCTTTTGTTTTTATTGTTGATGATGGTCTTTGCCATTCTGACTGAGGTAAGATGAAATCTCAGAGTGGTTATGATTTGCATTCCTCTAATTGTTAGGCACTATGAACATTTTGGGGGATATTTCTTAGCTATTTTTCATTTGAGAATTTTCTGTTCAGGTCCGGGTCCTATTTTTTGAAGTGGTTGCTTTTTCTCCCACCCATCCCCCTTTTGGGGGGGATTCTTTGTATTTTGAGTTCTTTAAATAAAGTTCTACTTGTCAGTTGTTGGCTCATTTCTTGGGCAAATGGAGTCCTATTCAGAAAGTCCTTTCTGATAGCTGTTATCAGGTAGGGTAATACCAACATTAATCCCTATGTTTTCTTCTAGCAGTTACAATGTTTCCGGTTTCAGATTTAGATCTTTGACCCATTTGAAGTTAGTTTTTATGCAAGGCGATAAATATGGGTCTAATTTCATTCTTCTACATGTGAACATCCAATTTACCCAGCACAAATTGTTGAAGATACTTTCTTTTTTCCAATTTATGTTCTTGGCCTCTGTGTCAAATATTAAATGGCTAAAGCTATGTGTACTCATGTGGTCTTTGATTTTGTTCTATTGATCTACATGCCTGACTTTATGTCAGTATTATACTCTTTTTTTTTTAATTGTTATGACTATTGTTGTTAAAGTATGTTTCCCCTCTCAGTGCTTTGAGTATTTTAAAGGTCTTTGTACTCTGGCTGTGTAGAACACAAATGTGTCAGCCCCATGGGAAGTGTAAAAATCATTTTTCTTCTTTTTTTTTGTTCTAATAGTTGTTCACTCACCATGATGGAGTTTTTATTGCACACGTGCACAGTGATGCTCGGCCTGCACAGAATCTTGTAGCTTTTTTTTATGTAGCTGCCCTTCTTCATAGGTCCCAGCTGCCTTGCCTTTCTGACTCTGATTCCTCTACTTTGTAAGGCTAGCATCTGCATGGATTTACCACTTCTCTGCTGAGATCCAGAAATGACCTACAGAGACAAAATTAGGGCAATTTCAGGTTTTATCTGCCCCCTTTTTATATTGATTATGTTAGATGTCTTTGTCCAATTTTACAGTGTTTTTAGTGGGAGACAAGTGTAAAATGAATTTATCTGTCAAAACCAGATCTGGGAATCTTGTTATTTATTCCTGCTTCGTCAGCATTATTGGTCTGTTCTAAAGCTAAAGCTGAAAATGGCACATTTTTACTGAAAGCTCACTGTTTCCTCAGAGTCAGGTGGAAATTCCATCTCTTGCTTCTTCAACTTTGCATCTGTTGTTAATGCATCGTGTGTGTGTGTGTGTGTGTGTGTGTGTGTGTGTGTGTGTGTGTGTGTGTGTGTATGTTTGTGACAAATGTGTACACATGTGAATGAAGCCTCTGTACTTCATATGACTTCCCTGATAGATCCTCACTCTGTTAAGATGGGCTATCTCTGACCCCAGAGCTCACAGTTGCTCATCAATTTTGGTTAGTCCAGTTAGCAGCTTGTCCTAAGGATCCCCTGTCTGTCTTCATGGAGAATTACAGGCAGGCTACTATCTGAACTCTGGTCCTTACACTTACACAGCACATATTTTTATGCTAATCCATCTTCCCCAATAAACCTAACTTGCTTAAGCTAATGGAGTTGCATGCCTGTAATCCCAGCATTCTAAAGGATGAGGCAGGAGGTTTATGGATTTCAAGTCAGCAAGGTCCTGTCTTAAAAAAAAAAAAAAAACGAACCTAACCTGTATATTTTCTATTCTTGTGACTAGGCAGCGTAGTCAATCAAGTATTCCACCCAGTGATGTTTGACAAATGTATTCAGATTCTGAAGAAGAGCTGGCCTCAAGAATCTAACTTGAGTCAAAAAAGAAAAAAGGAACACCCCAGGAGTTCTAAGTATAATCATAGGAGGGGCAGAAAAAGAGGAAAACCACCCAGGAAGGAGGATAATCAGGTAAGATAAGAAGATGTTTCCAAGCTGGGCGTAGTGTTGCACAGACAAGCTTTGTCTACATAGTGAGTTCCAGCACTTCCAGGGCTACAGGCTGTCAATGCGCAGTCACAAGATCCCTCATGCACGTACACATGCACGCACGCATGCATGGATGCAGGGGACTGTCATACACGGTTTAGTGCAGACCACTGTGACCTTGGAAACCTAGAACAACATAGGAACCTAGGCAGAGTCAGACCATCTGATGACCCCAGCTATGACTGGCATTGACTTCATTTGGGCAAATGGAAACCATGGGACCAGCACGTGAGGCAACATCACAGTCATTTGTACATTTTCCATGATCCAGGTGGATGAATTTTCAGGAGAGGAGGAGGAGGAAGAAGAGGAGATTTATTTTTCTGCCCGAGACCTTTTTCAAATACGAAATGTCATATTTAATCTTCTAAAGAATTTTTTAAGGCTTCTGCCCAAGTTTTCCCTTAAAGAAAAGCCACAGTCTATACAAACTTGTATAGAGGTAAGTAAAAGTTCCCAAGACTAGGGCTTAATTGCAAAAAATGTGGTTATAGCTAGTGTTTACTGAATTGAAGAAACTCACACCTTTCTTCGGTACTTGTCTTCCAGGTGTTTGTTGCATTAACTAATTTTGAGCCAATTCCTCATAAATTTCTTGTTTCACAAGCCAGGTGAGCCCTTAATATTGCAACATGTTGATGTAATGATTTGTTTCAGGACTAAAGTGCTATTTTACTCTTAATTAGTATATAAGCAGGATTTATTCCTTTACATTTGGCTTATGGAAAATACTCATGTGGTACACATGTACCTGCTGCTTGGGAGGTTGAGGCCCTTCAGTAATTTGAGTAAAGGAGTTGGGGGCAGCCTGGGCTGCCCAACACACCCAGGGACACTGCATCCAAAAATAAAATAAACAAATGAATAGAGAAGGCTTAACAGGAGGTTAAATATTCCTACTATAATTGAATCTATTAGCCAAGGCTCTTCCATTTTCTTTAGGAACCTCAATGGAGTAAAACACATATCAGAGCTGGCCTATTATGGATTGTATTTGCTGTGCTCCCCAGTCCATGGAGAAGGAAATAAGGTAGGGGAGATGTGTATTCTAATTTCCTAGTTGAATCAAAAGTAGACAAACCACATAATGCAAAGATATTTGATAATCCTTTTGTCTTTAGTTAGCTGAAATTATTTATGGCTAAATGAAGTGAAATCTGGTCATATTTTCAGGGAAAGAACATATATATCTTTTCTTTTAATGTATTGTTACATGTTTTATTTTTTAATTCTTCTTCATCTCATTCTTGTTGATCTGTATTGTGGTTAATTGACCTAGCAGCTTGTCCTGGGGCTCCCTTGTGTCCACCTGACTGCTAGCATTACAGGCAAGCTGCATGCCTATCCAGTTTTAATGTGAGTTTATGAATTAAGTTGTACTGTAGTTATGTCTATGTAGGAAAGCTGATACAGGATTGGTACTGGCCACATTTTCAGAAGTCACTGGGGAAGTGTCTTGGCAGTATGCTCTGTGGCTAAGGGGCAACTAGCTGTGATACCATTTTGACTTACTGTATCATTTCAGGACTTGATATTGTTTATATAATAAAATGTCACTATTTCTGTTTGCTATCTAGCCTTCATTACCTAGTAGGTATCCAATGTACTTGGTGGCTCCATGAATTATTACCAAGTATCTGAAATAAAACAAAGGGGTTTTATATGATACCTCCAGTTTTCAGCAGCAAAATCTTTGATGCCACTGGATTCTCTGTCATACTTTTAAGTCAAATGTTATTTTCTCTTCTAGGTTATTGGTTCTATTTTCCATCAAATGCTAAATGTAATATTGATGTTAGAAGTAGGGGAGAGGTCCCGTTGTACCCCCCTTGCGATAACCTCACAAGTCATCAACTGTAGAAACCAGGCAGTCCAATTTATCAGGTAAAGTGCATGCATCTTGAATTCCTGGTTTTTATCACTCTTCCTTGATAGTCTGGGCCCTGCACTAACCAGAGTATCTGGCACTTGAGGCATTGGGGTGTCAGACCCAGTGGTGATTTTGTGGGTCAAAATTAAGCACATCATAGCCAGTCTGTCTCCTGCGCCCATTTGACGGCTTCTGTGTTGGGTCATAGTTTAGGACATAGTGAATCTATAGCTCTTGAACCAGAGTCTGCCTCTAGCTTGATTCCATCAATTGTACAGTCAGCTGGGAGGACAGTGGCCCTTTTCTGTCATTGTCTGCTTAGGTGTTCACCTCTCCAGAACAGAAAGTCTGCCTCCTCTTCCACTTTTTCTCTCTACTAGCATTTCTGTTTCTTGAACATTTTTCTTTGTTCTCACTTTTCTATTTCATCCTCTACAACAGAAAGTACTTGCTGAAGGATGAAAGTAAGTAAATTGCTTTTAATTTCTTATAGTGATTGGTAGTCTACATTTTCTGCCATGAATTGCTTAGCTCCTTTAAAAGTCCCCTCTTGATTTTATTGGGGAAAGGTATGTTTGCTATGTCTTCCACTTACCAGTCCTCCATCACTCAGTATCTAGCATGCAGTGTAAAGTGAATGTGTGCAGGCTAGTGTCTTCATGCTTCAGGCTTCTTTATACTGTGGTTTGATCTGGTTTGGAGATGTTGGCATTGAATGTTATTATCTTGTCACTGAGCAAATGCCTCTTGATAGGGTTAGTTTGTTTGATTTGGTGTTTTGAGACAGGATCTCACTGCGACCTTGACTGTATTAGAACTCACTGTGTAGACCTCCTGCCACAGCCTCCTGAGTGCTGGTTTGCAGATGTGAACCACCACTGCCTGGCTATGATATTTTTTTCTTCTTCTTCCGTGTGTGTGTGTGTGTGTGTGTGTGTGTGTGTGTGCGCGCGCGCGCGCGCGCGCGTGTGCGCCTCAGCACACATAAGGAGGTCAGAGGACAGGTTAGGAGAATTGGTTCTCTCCTTCCCCCATGTGGTTGAATTCAGGTTACCAAGCTTTATTAGAAATTGCCTTTACCCACTGAGCCAACTCACTAACTAGCTTCATGAATAAGAATTTTTTTTTAAGAGTTGGAAAATTAAATTTATCAGGGTGAGAATTTTTGAAACATTAAATATTTCGGATGTGTTAAATAGAAACATTGCTGTGATAGAATATTATTTTAAGGTGTGTGACTTTTGTTTATGCTGCATTTGTTTAACTCTGTGAAGCTGTGTTACTATGCTTGGACTAAAACACCTGGTGGTCCTAATAAAGAGCTGAAGGGCCAATAGGGAGCCAGGAGAAAGGATAGGTGGGCCTGGCAGGCAGAGAGTATAAGTAGGAGAAACAAGGAAGAAGCAAGAAGAGGATAAGGAGAGGAGGACATCAGGGGCCAGCCTGCCAGCCAGCCAGCCAGCCAGCAAGAGTAAAAGTAAGAAATACAGACGAGAGAGATTAAAAAACACACACACACAAAAAGGTAGCCGTGTTAATTTAAGGTAAGAAAAGCTGGCTAGAAACAAGCCAAGCTAAGACCGGATGTTCATAAGTAATAATAAGCCTCTGTGTGTAATTTACTTGGGAGCTGGGTGGAAGGTCCCCCAAAAGAGCACAAAGAGCCAAAAGATTAAAAACACCAGTTATACATTGTTTTTCCCTTAAGAGTTTATGGCACATGCCTTTAATTTCAGTACTAGGGAGGTAGAGGGAGTAGGATCTCTACGTTCAAGGCCATCCTAGTCCACACTGTGAGTTGCAGGACAGCCAGGGTTACACAGAGAGACCTTGTTCCAAGTTGAATGTTTACGTAATGGTACAAGTCAAAGAGTAAATCGAGAGAATGCATTAAACTAGTAGCACTTCACTGAACTGACACAAGTGATAAACATATTACTATTCTATAATAATTTATTTAGGATAAATAGTGATATATTTATCCTAAAGTGATGTATTTAACATCTTACTATGAAAATTATTACAGTTAAAAGAGCCCATGAAGATTGAAGTTTTGTCTTTCTCTAAATGACACAACTTCTCAGTGATAACTCTTTATGGAACTGCATAGGAAGCATGTTTTTCTAATCTGTTGCAATGTATCCTTATTCTTTATTTTATTGAAACAAGTAAAAAAGGGATAGTTTGTTTTTATAATTTTTAGTCATTAGTATTGTGCGACTGTGCATACATGCTCATTTGTGGGCTGACGTGCACTCAGGCCTATGCTACAAGCACATGTGTAAGTCAGAAAACAGCTTTGTGGAGTCAGTTCTGTCTTAAAACCTTCAAATGTTAAATGGGTTCTGGGGATCAAACCAGTTGCCAAACTTGTGGGCCAAATGCCTTTACCTGCTGAGCCATGTTGCAGACCCCAATAGTTAGGCCTTTTTTAATATTTGAGGTTCTAAAATATACAAATATTGGTTTTTGAGCATAGAGTTAAGAAGTGACTGCTGGGTTGTCATCATAGATAACGTTGTAACTGGATTTGTGTTTTTATTTGAAATAGCTCGCTTGTGGATGAACTACAAGAAAGCATATTCCCAGTCCTTGGTACTTTACTGCAGCATATCTGTGCCAAGGTACTGTGTGCTTTAGTAGTTACAGTATGTAAGTATTACACATACAAAGATAAGTGCCTCTGTGTTCTTGAGTATTACCAAAGGTAGCTTCTTAATAATAGATTCTCTCTTAAACAATGTGTTTTTTTTTCTTGTGTTTCGTTTGTTTGTTTGTTTGTTTGTTTGTGGGTGGTCTTGGGCAGGGTTTTCTTATATGCTGAAGTTAGGCTTGAATCGAGACCTCTCTTAGTCTCTTGAGTACAGAGATGAAAGGCAGGCACCTTTAGCATACCCAGCTTAAAAAAAAAAGTTCCAACGTTTTTATTTTAAAAAATGATAGACACATACAGGTACAGGGAGAATTGTTTGGATCAGCACATTCCCATAATTCATCAGTTTTGGTTGGTATATCCTGAATGTACATGCGCAGATTTTTCTCTTCTGAAGCAAATTCCATCATATTCTTTCATTATAATATTTCAGTGTATTTCTCTAGAAAAGATAAGAACTTTTAAAAGAACATAAAATATTTACTATCTGAAAAACAAACTAATGTCAATTATCTGATCTCATTTAATTCTTAAAAGTTTTTTATGTGTATGTATGTTTTGCCTATATGTATGTGTGTGCACATGTGTGTCCCTGGTGCTCATGGAGGCCAAAGAGTACCAGATCCCCTGTTACAGACTGTTAGGAGCCACTATGTGGGTGCTGAGTACTGAACCCAGATCCTTGGCAAGAGCAGTAAGCACTCTCAATTGCTGAGCCGTCTCACTAGCTTCCATTCTCACATTTTTACTGATATTTCATAAATTTATGGCACTGTTTAAGCAAACAATTCTTAATTTGAATTGTATCTACTGTAAAGGTGCATAGTCTCTGAAACTGTTTTTCTGCAGGGGTTTATATTTTAATTTTCAATGGGGTATAAAACATAAAATGTGTTAGTCATTTATCTGGTGTTTAAAGATCATTGAGCCAATCACACTTGCTAATTTTCAGCTACAACATGAGCTTGAGTCATCCTACAAGTGGATGGACTGTCAGCTTTCTTTTATGTGTTCCAGGTAGTAGATAAAGCAGAGTATCGGACTTGTGCAGCACAGTCCCTGGTCCAGCTGCTTAATAAGCTTCCCTCTGAGGAATATGCTACATTCATTGCCTGGCTTCACAAATATTCACGGAGTTCTAAGGTAGGAGATGGGTTGTAGAAAAAAAGCTTGGGTCCTGGCCTTGAGCACTGGGTCTGAATGCAAAAGAGATCTTTGTTTGGTTCTTCTTTCTACTGATGGATGCCTCTGATTTTGCCTTGGCAGATTCCACACCGGGTATTCACTCTTGATGTTGCTTTAGCTCTCTTAGAGCTGCCTGAAAGAGAAGTGGATGACACTGTATTATTGGAGCACCAGAAGTTTCTAAAGCATAAATTCTTCGTACAAGAAATTATATTTGATCGTTGCTTAGACAAGGCACCTACTGTTCGAAGCAAAGCACTGTCCAGCTTTGCACATTGTCTGGAGTCGTCTGCTAGCAGCACATCAGAGAGTATATTGGAGATCTTCATTAGCAGTGAGTGGGAGAGGCTAGAGGCATAACTCTGTGTTCCCTCGCCTAGTACATATGAGGCCATGGGTCAAGACCCACTATGGATGACCAAGAAAGAAAAAAATAAATCGAAAAATAAACTGCAAGTGTATCATTCTTTGATAAGCCGTGTGTGTGTGTGTGTGTGTGTGTGTGTGTGTGTGTGTGTGTTTTAATTAATCCTCATAACCAACTTTATCATTTGTTGTTAAAGTACTGTGTGTGTAGGATCAATCCTAGGACCTCACACAATTAAGCATGTGTCCTACAACTTGAGCTTATCTCCACTTCAAATCCCTTTTTTTTAAGAAGGGAAGCCTGTTACATTTAAAATTCCTTTCTGAAACAAAAGAAAGTTGTCAGCAGTTCCAAAAGTATCTGCTGTGACTTTGGCTCTGTGTATGCTTATGTGGGACTTATACTCTTTTATCTGTCTGATTACTTTTAGGTGCTTTGGTTTCAGGAATACAGAGTTGTTCTGATACTTTACAGAGAACCTCAGTAGGTAAGCATCAGTATTTTTCAAATACTCAATTGACTCTTTAAAAAAAAAAAAAAGTGCTGACTGTTAGAATGACTCCTGCTTCCAAACTCACTATCCTAATGTTTTTCTTCCTCAAAACTGAGGTTTGTTTTAGCCATTTCACCACTTGAGTTACATGCAGTGCTTGTGCTATTGAAAATATAACAGATTTTTTTACCTTAATCTTTTTTTTTTTTAATAGTGTCTTCCAGTGGAAATTGGCACATGACACAAATCAACACTGATGGTGGTGATGAAAGAGAACAGTCTGGAGGTACCCACACTTGCTCTCTCCCACACCCTCTTGCTGCCTCTTCCCAAATACACCCCATTTGATCTCACACGTGAGAGAAAAACTGTGGTATTATCCTTCCAAGTCTGCTTATTTCTAATGACATGACCTCTGGCTTCATGCATTTCTCAGAAGGTGATATCATTGTGTTCTTCTGTGTTGTTGAATAGAACTCTACCTATGTGTGTATCACATGCTCTATCTTTGTAGACACTGAAGTCAATCTGTGACTTCGGCATTGTGAATAATGCCAGAGTAGGCATGAAGGTATTAGGTATATCTGTTGTATACTGAGCTACATTTCTTTTAGTGAAAAACCAATATAAATGTGATATAGTTGAGTCATATGACAGTTGTTTTTATTTTATTAAGAACTGCTTATTATTATGGATATATTTGAGGCAGGGTCTCACTATGTATCCCTCAGCCTTTCCTGCCTTTGCCTCCTGAGCACTGGTTTGAAGGCCTGCACCACCATACCCAGACAAGAAAGTCATTTCTACTGGCAGGGTATCAGGATTGTGCTTCACTTGCATCCTTGCCAGAACTGGTGGTTCTGTTTGTATTTTTGAGACAGAGTAGAATCTCTTCTAGCCAAGGATGACCTGTTCCTAAATCTTCCACCTCCCTAGTGCTGGAGGCACAGGAGTCCACCATCATATCCAATTTGTGTAAAGTTGATGGATGTTAAAGTCACCTGCTATTTCACTGTGAGAACCTATCTGTCCCTTTACATCAGAAGTGTTTATTGTTATGAAATTGAATACACTGGCTTTTGGTATATATTTGTTCATGGTATCATCTTTTTGATATATTCTTTATTATTTTGTCTTTATGTGTTTGTTTGTTTGTTTGTTTGTTTATTTATTTATAGGCAGGTTTCTCTGTATATCCCTGGCTATCCTAGAACTCACTTTATAGATCAGCTGGCCTGAAACTCAGAGATTGACCTGCCTCTGACTCCCAAGTTGTGGGATCAAAGGCATGTACCACCACCACCTGGCTTTGATATTTATTTTTTATTTTACCAATTCTTTATTTTACCAATATGTTTTATCTCTTCTGACTAATTATGGCTTGAAGTCTACCCTATATGATATTAATACTGCTAACTTCTGCTTGTTTCCAGGTTTCATTTGCTTGGAATATCATTTTCTGCCTTTTACTTTAGTCTTTAAATGTATTTGCTGACAAGGAATATTCCTTCTTTTTAACATAATTTTTTGTTGATTCTTTGGGAATTTCACATCATATACCCCAATCCTGCTCACCTCCCAGTCCTTCCATATCAGCCCCTCACCCCTGCAGCATCCCCCCAAAAGAAATCCACCCCCAAAATCTTAAAAACAACAACAACCAAAAAAACACCTTGCTTCTCCATCTTTCCAACACCCTTCATCCTAGTGGCATTGGGAAGTACAGTATACCCTCTTGCCCAATCTGCCCCATCCACAAAATGTTCATTGCAATGAGTCATTGGTCTGTTTCAAGGCCTCTAGCCCACCATCATCACTGGTCCCTCCCTGAAACTCCATGGCTATCCTGTGGTTATTGTTCCTCCGAACTAGTCATTCACTCACTCCAGCAGATCATAGATGGGATAGATAATTAGAGTTGGCCAATCCAAGGCCCAGGATGTGGCTCTGGGTGGTAGCTGAGGTGGTTGGTCTGTGCCACTGACACCCCCACCCACCCACCTCCTCAGGCAAGGGGCAGAGTCAGCTCTCCCACCAGCTTGGTTCCTATGACCCTTTGCGGTAACGTGGGCCATGGATATCATCGAAGACCCTAGCTGCAGCAAGAACACAGAACCAGATATGGCCCTCAGCAACAGCTCTGGCTTCGACATAACCATGGGCCTAGTGGCAGCACAGGCCACCCTAGTCAGTATGGCCCCAGTGGCATGAAGGACCAGGAATATTTCTTTTCTTTTTCTTTCTTTTTTTTTTTGTTTTTGTTTTTTTGTTTTTGTTGTTTTTTATTTTCGAGACAGGGTTTCTCTGTGGCTTTGGAGGCTGTCCTGGAACTAGCTCTTGTAGACCAGACTGGTCTTGAACTCACATAGATTCACCTGCCTCTGCTTCCCATTGCTGGGACTAAAGGTGTGCTGACACTACTGCTCAACCACCCAAGGAATATTTCTTACAAGCAGCAAACAGTTGGTTTTTTGGTTTTTGGTTTTTTTTTTTAAGCCAGACAGCCAGTGGCGGGTTTTGTTTTTTGATTTTGTTTTGGTTGTTTCTAGCTGTCCTGGAACTCTCTCTGTAGACCAGGCTGGCCTCAAAATCAGAGATCTGCCTTCCTTTGCCTCCCGAGTGCTGGGATTAAAGTGTGTATTCCACCACTGCCCAGCCCAGCCTATGTGTTTTAATTAAAGGATTAAGACCACATTCAAGGTTGTTATTGGAAGGTATATAGTAATTCATATCATTTGTCATTTTCCTAATATTTGATTCTTTCCTAATTCTCAAAGCCATTTATCTTGGCTTAGAAGTCATAAAGCACTTACTCTCTTGATTCTGAATCTAGCTATTCTGGTTATAATGATCTGATTTGCCAGGGTGTAGTCATGCTCCCCACTGTAAAGATAAGGAACTAAACCTCTGACACTGTAAGCCAGCCCCAATTAAATGCTTTCCTTTATAAGAGTTGCTGTGGTCATGGTGTCTTCACAGCAATAGAAACCCTGACTAAGACATTGACTAAACTCAAACCAATAGTTTTTGTTTTGCTTTACTTTTGTTTTATTTTGTGGAATTCTTGAAATTTTCTGTATAGAAGGTTAAGTCTCCTACAAATAGAGATAATTTACTTGTTCCTTTCCACCTAGAGGGTTTTTTTTTATTATTATTATTATTGGTTCTTTTTTTTTTTTTTTTTTTTTTTTTTTTTTTTTTAAAAACGGGGTTCTTTTTCTGTAGCTTTGGAGGTTGTCCTAGAACTCACTCAGTAGACCAAGCTGGCCTCAAACTAACAGAGATCCACCTTCCTCTGCCTCCCGAATGCTGGGATTAAAGGCGTATATCATCACTGCCCAGCCACCCAAATGCTTTTTGTTTATTTTTCTTATGTAGTTGCTATAGCCAGACTCTCTAGTGCAATGCTGAATTGAAGGTGAGGTTTAAATGAATCCACCAGACCCAAGATAAATGATAAATAGGTATTTAAGAAAACACTTACACGGGTAAGAGTAAATAACCACCACGTCTTCCTGCCCCAGAAGATGCAGTCTCTGCTTTTCCAATGCTCTGCAACCCAGGAGAGCACAACCCAAAAGAGCGTGAGTCAGCCCTGCCACCCCTCTTATAATGGGTCATGTCTGCAATGAAACCATGCCCAAAGGGTGTGGCCACCGCTACAAGTTCACTGGCAAGGCAAGATGTCACTACATTAAATAGAGATGGAAAGTCTTGTATTAGGAAGAGCTTTTGGTATTCACTGTTGAGTGTGATATCAGCTGTGAGCTTTTTCAGGATAGCTTACATCTTTGGGAGGAAGTTTACTTCTGTTCCAAATTTGCTGAATGTTTTCAATCCTGGATATTGCAAATACTTTTCTTCTTCTATTGAGGTGATCTCATAGTTTTCCTCTTCTGATGCTATGGTATTTCCATTCATTGATATTTCACATTAGAATCAACATTGAATTCCTGAGATAAGTAGCAGACATAATACAATCCTTTTTTAAATCTTGCTTACTTCAAATTGCTAGTGTTGCTCTGAGAATGTTGGTGTCTGTAGTCTTAAGGGTTGGGATGTCTGTTTTGCTGTCAATGATAGTGCAGTATTATGAGGGGGGAAATATATTCTTCTCTTCAATTTTTGATCAAGTTTGTGAAGGAGACTCACTCATTTTTATGTTACCATTTGGTAGAATTCGTAGTAAAACCATCTAGTCTTTGGCTTTTATGTGTATGGTGTGATATTCCTTTATGAGCAGTTAAGTTTGTTTTTAGATGTAATCATTTTCTTTCTTTTGTTCACTTATCTTTGAATGTCAATCTTCTAAACATTTGTTCATGTCATTTATCTGTTAGCATAAAGTTGCTCCTATATCCCTTTGTGCTCTTTTTTTTCTTCTGTAAAACTGATAGTAATGTCATAATGTTGCATACCTTCTTTTAACAATGTGAATACTATTTTCTTGGTCAGTTTAACTAAAGCTTGCTAAGCTCTGTTAATTTTGTGGATATTTCCAAAATATTACTTGGGCTTCATTGAATTTTCTTTGTTTTCTGTTCTATTTTTGAGGTGATTTCTTATATATCTAAGCAGTTTCCATCTTTGGCTTGGGGACCTCTGAGGGGTTGCTGAGTCTCTTTCATGGGTCTTTGATGTGAAACTGTGCTCATATTATTATCAAGGAATCATTTACTCTCCATACCTTGATCTTCTTACAAGAGTAAATTGACATTTCCCAGAGATCCCATACTGTAACAGGTAACAGTCCAGCAGGCTTTTACTAAGCCAAATATCAGTGTATACAAAAAGGTAAAATAGTGCCACTCTTTTGTTATATTTTATAAAGTATAGCTTTTTTTAAACATGTTATTTATAGTACATGTCTTGCTTTTGTTTATTTAAAAAAAACTTTATTGTTATTTGCGCGTGTGCGCGCGCACGTGTGTGTGTGTGTGTGTGTGTGTGTGTGTGTGTGTGTGTGTGTAATTCAGTTCCCAGCACCCTTCAGACAGCCCACAGCTGCTTTCGACTCTTGCTCCCAGGGATCTGATACCATCTTCTGACCTCCACAACCACCCCTACACACTCCCTAAATACATAGTATTTATATATTATATAAATAAGAATTAAAATGAATCTTTAAAATCATTTAGTGGTAGAAGCCAGGATTTAAAATCAAATTCCTAGATATTCTAAAGTTAATCCTTTTTTTAGTGAATGCCTGGTAATGAGATTTTCTTCTTTTTCAAGACTTTGTGATGCTTTCCTTTCTTAGAACTTAAGTAACTAGTGAGTCTCTAGCTAGTCTTGTCTCCTTAGTTTTGTGACACCTTAGGTGTTTCTCGTCTTTCTCAAGACTGTGATTCTTTGGTGTTGTCAACAGAGAGATGCTTCATGGCGATGCTGAGAAAAAGAATCAGGGATGAAAAGATCAACGTCAGGAAGTCTGCACTCCAGGTGGGACCCTTCCTCCTTAAACACACTTGATGCAGGAAAGCTCGGAAATGCCACGATGGTTTCTGCCATTTATAAGCTATAGGAGAGCTAAAAGAATTTGCTGATTTCTAAGCTTTCAGATTTACTTGGTGGCTCTTGAAGGCACACAGCTGTTAGGGAGAATGGTGATACATGCTCTCAGGAAGTAGAGGCAGGTATTGGAATTAAAGCTTGAGTTTGAGGCCAACCTGATCTACGTAGTAAGTTCCAACTCAGCTAGGGCTACACAACTGTATAAAAAAATAACTTATTATATGTATTTGTTGGAACTAGGAGACCGTAGATGGATTTCATTAAGTTAGTGAAATTGGTTATGATGTTCAGTTTTCTTAGAGAACCGTCTTTCTTTTTTCTTTCCTTTCTTTTTTTGTTGTTGTTTTGTTGTTGTTGTTGCTGTTTTGAGGACAGGGTTTTGCTGTCCAGCCCTGACTGTCCTGAAATTCTGTAGTCCAGGCTAGTTTCAAACTCAGAACTCTGCCTGCCTTTGCCTCCCAAGTGCTGGGATTAAAGGCGTGCACCACCACTATCCAAGAGAGTCCTTTCAAAAGATAAAATACTATAGGGTTGATCCTTGACCCCTCAAACGTTTAAAACTATGAACTTGAAGTATTTCTTTGTCTATATTTACTCTTTCTGCGTTTGTGCCCTGTAGTCACTACTTCATGTTGTGCCTTCCAGGTGTTAGTGAGTATTTTGAAACACTGTGACATCTTGAGCATGGAGAAGGACCTGTTGATCCTGCAGGACCACTGTCGAGACCCTGCTGTATCTGTGCGGAAGCAGGCCTTACAGTCCCTTACAGAACTTGTTACGGTGAGGAGTATCATGCTGTGTGTAGAATGCTTAGTGCTTTGCATCAAAAGCACCTCTGAGCTGGCTTCATAAACCTGAGGCAGGAGGATTACTGTGAAGTAGAGGCCATCTTTGTCTACAGTATGCACTGCCTAAAAGATAGATAGATAGATAGATAGATAGATAGATAGATAGATAGATAGATGAGAGAGAGAGAGAGAGAGACTCTGGCGCTAAAGCCTTAGCAATAGAACATATGCTTTGTAAGTATCGAGTGCTTGAGTTTAGTCCCCACACAAAAAGGGAGCAAGTGCAACTATATAATAATTACCTGTTGCTAAATGTTAAGTAAACCATTTAGAAATTCAGCTGTGCCCACCTGAGGCCTAAACATCACTCACTGGGGAATAACAAGTGTCTTTGGCAGATGACTTTCTTTTTTACTTCAGCTAGAAACTTATGCTAAACAATGCTGTGCCACTTCTTGATTTGATCTTAAATCTCAACTAGAAAAGGAAACTAAAATTTTTTAAATTGATTTTAATTTTTCTTTATGTGTATGTGTTCTCATATCTGTGTCTATGAATATATAAATGTGTATGGGGTGCCCACAGGTGATTGTGAGCCACAAGATGTGGGTACTGGGAATTGAACACTGGTCTTCTGCAAGAGCAGCAGGCGCTCTTAACCACTGAGCCATCTCTATTACTTTTTTGTTGTTTTCACAAACCACCGTAACCAAAAGCAACTTAAGGAAGAGAACTTATTTTTGCTAGTGGGCCCAGAGCTAAGAGTCCATTGTGGCAGGGAGGCCTGGCCCCAAGTAGCAGGTATTGTGATAATCAGGAAGCTGAGAGATCACATCTTAACAAAACAAAGAGCGAGCTGGAAGTGGGGCAGAACTTTAAACTCTGAAAGCCCACCCTGCCCAGTGATATACTTTCTGCAGCACGACTGTATCTCCTCACTGTAACCTTTCTGGGCTGCACCAAAAACTGGAGACAAAGCGTTCAAATGGCTGATCCTAAGGAACTTTGCTCTTTCTAATCACCACACCATCTCTTGAGCCTCAGAAACTTTAAAATCAAATTGATTAAATTCCAGGCCTAGATTAATTTTTGTCAATTAAGATATGTAGCTGGTGGAGGTGCAGGTGCAGATGGTGCATACCTTTAATCCCAGCAGAGGCAGGCAGGCTAATCTGAGTTCCAGGGCAGCCTGGTCTACAGAGCGAGTGCCAGAACAGGCTCCAAAACTACACAAAGAAACCCTGTCTCGAAAAACAAAACAAAACAAAATTTTTAAAATATGTAGATATTACCAGAAGAGCATATTCTTTAGTATGATATATAATTTACTTCTCTCAATTAATTGACTATTGAAGAATTTTTAAAGGATTATTATTTCTACCAGAGAAGACATCAAAGAATGCATACTTTTAAGATTTATTTTTATTACTTAAGTGTGTGTGTGTGCACACATGTATGTGAGTATGTACATGTAGTGCCCATGGAGAACAAAAATATCAAAGCCTCAGGAGTTGTGAGCTGCCTGACATGGTACTCAAAATCCAACTTAGTTCCTCTAGAAGAGCAACAAGTGCAACTAACCACAGAGCCATCTCTCCAGCAATGTATATTTCGGCTTTTGCTGTCAGCACATTTTCCTTGGAGTAAATATCATTTGTTGTTCTTAAATAACCAAAATAATGCTGATCACAAATAATAAAATAGTGGCTTTAATTTATAAGTTTAAATTTTAATATGCATTGACTCTTCTCAAGCTGGAGGTTACAGTTTTTCAGGATCTCAGAATGTTGATTTTTTTTTGTTTGTTTGATGTTTGCAATTAAATACAATTATTTATTTGTTTGGGTATAGTGCCAAGTATTATACACAGGGCTTTGAATACACAAAGAATACCTTCTAACATTAAACTTAGCCCTGTATCCTGTAGGTGTGATTATATTTAGCATGTCTGTTGAATTGTTGATTGCAACTTCGTTGGCTTGAACCTAGACTTGAAATAATGTTAGACCTTCTGCTATAATGTTTTCAACCTTAGGCCCAACCTACATGTGTCCCAGTCCAGAAAGCCTGGTTGATGGGAGTCATCCCAGTGGTGATGGACTGTGAAAGCACAGTGCAAGAAAAGGCCTTGGAGTGCCTGGACCAGCTCCTGTTGCAGAACCTTAAGCATCACAGAAAATTTCACAGTGAGGACAGAAGCCAGGTGCTTGCTTGGGCATTACTTGCTCTTCTTACCACAGAAAGCCAGGATCTGAGGTACATTAACTGTATCACTTCAGTTTCTTATGGAACGTCATGTGCTGGTTTTTGTTGTGTTATGTTTTAAAGATTCTCTCTCTCTCTCTTTCTCTCTCTCTCTCTCTCTCTCTTTC